CTTATATATATATATATATATATATAAATCGATACATTATAACAAAAATATATGTATATACATACATGCACACACACAAACCACGTATATATATTTATTAATATAAATTGTATACTTAAATGCATATATGCATACACACACACATACACACACACACACACACATTTATATATATATATATGAACTCGTCATGTACAAAACCTGGTTGTGTTTCGAACTGATTGTTATCATTACATATACAATTTCTGAAGAAGAATTTATACATACATAACCGCATCAAGTAGCTGTAAATGCGGACAAGAACACTTCACATGCATATTCCTAATTTTGTCATGCCGAGATTCTACAGTGCACGCTCACTGACACAGTCTAGTTCTTCCTCAGAAGTAACACCACAACGGACCGCATCCACTCACAGACACATATTACATGAAGCTCGCCTGTTGCTTGATGCTCAGAGAGACCACTCTTAATACTGACGTCTCTCCTAACAGTGTGCACAACACAGTATCTTCGTCCGCGACTTTCCCTTTTGGGTTCCCCCGCTTTCTGTAGCTCTCGAGAGCCTCGTCTCTCTCCGAGGGTGCACCCGAGGTCTCAGCATTCGGTCCCAAACTGCCCCAAACCATATTGTTCACATACATACGGTACCGCACACGCCTGGTGGCTGCGCTTTTGGCCTTAGTCTTGGTACATTGCTGTATGCCCTGTTCCCCAACCAATTGAAGGTCGCCTGCTTCTGCCACGCACGCGTTATAGCTTTGCTTATACACGTTGCTGTCCATATTCGTGTTTAGTATGAGAGCAGTGCCGCTTCTGCTGTGTGGCGGTGTGTGATCCCTGCCGTTCCAAGGTTTATGCATAGCTGATTTCAATTGGCCGCCATTCCATGATTTATCCGGGCTTGCTTTTGATTGACGGAGAGGGCTGGTGTGAGCACTCGAAGTATGTCCCATCGGACCTTCCAATGCGGCCGAGTGTCTCTCCATTGACTCGCGATATGATTGGTCGCTATTTTTAGTCGACCTGTCGTGGCTTGCACTGCGCACGGGTGCGTTGAAGGCTATCTCATGGTAGGTAAGACTATGCTGCGATAGATCCTGGATTTCTAATAACAGCGGCGTGCTGTTAAAAAAGTTTTCGGCCACTATGAGAGCGAACTGAGGTGGTTGTGTGTGTGTGCCTGTGTCTTTGTTGGTGTAGCAAGTGCGAGCTCTGTGGTAAAGGTCGATATATATATATATATATA